AAAAAAAAAAAAAAAAAAAGAAAAAGGAGGGGGGGTGGGGGCTGGGACTGATTCTCTTAACTTCTGCGTTGTTTGCACCTGTGCAAGGTGATCCAAAATGCCACAACCCTGTCAAAATGCACTAGGGAATTTTTAATTATAGAAAGTTTTGTTATTTCCCTAAAATCTGTATTGGACAGTCTTAGTATGTAGTACCCTGCAGTTTGCTCTTGGGGGGTGCTAACAGACATGAAAACCAATAAAAAAAACAGCGCTATACTAGAAGAGGCGGTGTATTAGTTCAGCCTGGCTCTGCAGCATCTGTATAGATTGGGCGCCTCAGCTGGGCTTTTTGGCGCTTTTATCTAATAGCTGATTGCATCAGCTATTAGATAAAAGCACCAGAAAGGCCCCCCTGAAGCACCCGATCTATACAGACATTGGGTGAACTAGATCCAGCTAATGCAATGCCTCTTTTGGGTGCATCCTGTGCTTGGCATGGGGGTGTGCTAAGCTTAAAATAAAGCACGGGTTTTTTTCCCATGTCTGTAAGTAGCTGGATGTCTCTCTGAGGGCTAAATTCTGCAGAAGTGGCATCACTTACTTTTAGTGCCCGGAATTAGGATGGGCTTTGTAAAAAGGCTTACAAGCCAAGTGGGATATAGTATTAGACAAGTGTTTTTAAATCCTAGCATGCTTAATTGAACAGCTCAGGGTTTTAAAGCATTACTTTTCTATATCATTCATGCTAATTACTTGTTTACAAAAACAGGTAGAAGTGAAGCATTTAGGTAGAAATATCAGAGTATTGTATCTTTGACTTCCACTTGATACATTTTTTAAGTAGGGGCAGACATCTTGTATGATTTGTTATTTTTCTGGATACAGTTGCATTTGGGTAGCTCCCGACTGAAGTCTTTTCCATCATTTGTAGAATTTGGTTCTCTTCAGCGCATCCTGTTCTAACATCACAACCAGAGGATTTTGTCGCAGTCTGAAATCTAGTAACTTTGATTACAGATTAGTGGAATTGAAGAAAAAAGAATGTCTGGAAATAAAGGCAAAACGAATATATTTGTCTCCGTCACGTATTCATGTTTTAATGGACGTTATTAAGGATTCAAATTTAACCCATAAATGCAGGAATTTTTGGCTTGCTGACAGCAAAGGGTTACGTGTAGAGCCCTGGCATAAAGTAACAGCTTGTCATTTCAAAGTGTTAGAACAACAGCTTCATATTTAGGAAGGCACCCTGTTCAGAAATGTGTCCGAGCATGTAAATACTGTCCAGATTTGGGGGTCTAGGTTTGTGGACAGTCACTTTGTCAAATCTAACTCTCTACATCTTGCGGTAGACAGACAGCATTGAAATCCTGCCAGTGGGTTTTAACACGTACACATATGAAATTGTTGGAACATACACAAGCAGTGGTGGCAGCAAAGAATTGCTCTTTGTTACATGTTGCTTAGTTCAAGGGCTGCATGTTGAAGGTTGTATTTTAAACCTTAATTGAATTGCCTTGTTTTTGGGAAGAGACCTGTTTGTGGGGTTATTTTTATTTTTAAAGAGTATTTAGAAAAACAAAAAGAAACACAACTTTTACAGAGAGGCTGATATGAGAGGCCTTATTGACTCTTTAAGCCATTATGGATTTCCATTCAGATCCATATTAAGACCAAATATGTACATTTCAATCATGCTTCAGCCAGAGTAATCACCAGCTGCAGATTTATATGAGCAAGAGGGACGAAATTTTGCCCTTGAAGGATCTGTTTTCATGTGCTTATCTTAGGAGGGGGAAAGGCTGACTTCTAAGTCTAAGACACAAGGCTTTCAGAAGTTTAAAACACATATACAAACCATTTACCAATAAGTGTGAGATGTTTTAATGAAACACCTGGCCAAAAATAGTATTTGCATCAGAAATAAGTATGTTATGTAAGATTCAAGCTTGTAGTACAGGCTAAAAAAACTGCTTTAAAACTAAAGAAAATTTGAGGCTTCAATTGTATATTTTTCATCATCTTGCTTCTCTGGATAGTGTAGGCATCCTGCTGTTACAGTGTTGCAGTTGATAGCACAAGGGCTAAATTCAATAGATTTAAAATGCAAGTGATTCAGGATCTTAAGAAGCTGATGTGACAAGCCTAATGAGTGGTACTGTTTATTCATGGAGCAAAGAGAGCACAGCAAGACTTTGCCCTCTACGATGTCTCTAGCCTTACCTGAAGAGCCAACTGACTCCTTACCTTCTCTTCTGTGGCTCTAAGTAAGAGTAATTCTTAGCCTAGTTCCTCAGACAGGGATTCCACCACACCAAAAACACCAGTACCACGGTACCGTGAAACTGAGTTTTCATTCATGTACGTACTACAAATTTTAACTGAATTTTGCTTTATTTCACCTGCTTGTACATGTTAGGTTTCTGCAGAGGCAAAAAAATGTGGCTTCCACTGCTGTTAGAGAAGAAATTAGTTTTCTCCAAAATTTCAGGATGCATTTGGAATAGAGCTCAGTCCAGACAGCTACAGTTTAAATTGGCCTTTAACTAAATTACCTGCTTTGTGTTCTAAAATTTGTTACTGAAAATATTTTAAAACTGTACTGTGGAATAGTGATGGAGCGGCGTATGTGTGTAAATACTGCCCTCTAATGGACGGTATGTGACCTCTGGGAGCACCTTGGCAGGACTATTTGTTTTTCAGAGGTAGGATCCAAGGAGATGATAGAAGTAACAGAATGTGCATTGTAACACTTTTCAAAGTAACCAGTATTTGCTAACATGCATACTTTAACTAGCTCTTCAGAAATCGTACAAGGATAGCTTTTGGGGCTTGGGGGGTTTTTAATGTTTCACTTCTCTCTCTCTTAGAACATCTTGCACAGAATATTTCTAAGTCACACATGGAAACTTGTCAGTACTTGAGAGAGGAGCTACAGCAGATAACATGGCAAACTTTTCTACAGGAAGAAATAGAGAACTACCAGAACAAGGTATGTGAATGACAAAATCAAGTACTTAGGCCTTCCAAAATTTTAAAGCTGCTTAAATGAAATAGCATTTTTGTGAAATCTTAAATTCAGCTTGATTTCCCATTTCTTCTCTGTTTGCCATTGGGAATTTTAGGTTTTTTATGTATTTGATAGATAAATCCTACACCTTTAAATGGTCACTGGGGATAGACAGGAGTCAAGATCTGCAAATGGGATGGGCTTTTCCTAGGTTTTGCATGTGAGAGTTTCTCAGGCTTGGAATGCAAAGCCATAAGCCTGACTTAGCTAGCAGTGAGAACAAGGGTCAGAAAGACCAAGGAAAAATTCCACCCTTAAATGATAGGACAGTTTTGGAGGAGTAAAATTGTTCGTTTTCCTCTGACCAGGGTCTGTTTGCATTGTTTTGCTTAATGTATAATTTTCTCAGGCACCAAAAATGGCTTGTTAAGCAAGCAGGAACACACATGCCCTTCTTATGACATCAGATTCTGTCAACAGCCTGACATTTTACTGCAGTATTTTTCAATTTAAATAATAAACTTTGTATTTACCTTCTGGTGTTTGAACCTCCAAACTTTTGTTTTCAAGCTTCACTCCACAACTTGGAGGGCTGACATGTTAATTTTTTTAATTGAAGCTGAGATTTTCTGAGTCATCTGACACCAGGCTGTCATGCTTTAAGAAGTTCATTGACTATTGTGAGATTTCTGTTAAAAAAGCAAGTCTTGGAGACACTGTTACTGTGGCAGAGGCTTGAATAAGAAGTTAGCAGGGTGAGATCAGCCAAGAGACGTCTTGAAACCCAGTGGCCCTTGGGTCTGTTCAGCACTGCTTATTTCAGGCATGCATTGCATTACTTGTGCCTTCTATTTATCTGTTAATTGGGTTTGTATTGTATTTATTTTATGGTGCCTTTTTGTTCTTTGCCTTTGTTAAGGCCTGATGGTCATCTGAATTGCCCAGAAGAAGCCTGGGAAGCCACACTACTTTTTCTGCTCCCTTTTGCACTTTGGGACAGTCATGTACTTCTGAATAATACCCCTTTCTTAGGCCAGTTCAGCTCACAGAGGAAGTACAGTAAGGGCTTGCTCTGCTCCCTTGGCTGATAGATGGAGGGGGGCGGGGATTATTGTATGCCCTGCCCTTAAAACCTGTGCACCGGGGAACAGAACAAGAAGTGTTATTTATTTCTGTTTTCGTCCTGGTGTGGCAGCTTGAGGCCAAGTCTTGATCTGGCCCCTACATTGTATAGGCTAATTAATATGTCCTGTCAAGGATTTGGTATTTGACATAGTTTATTTCAGTTTTCAGGTTAGACAGTAGAACTGGGTGTCAAATTTTCTGTCATCTATTTTCAGTTTTGCCTTTGACTCACTGCAACATTGGGCAAATTAATCTCAGTGCCTTGGTGTACCTGTACTGTGGATCATAAAATGCTGTCCTACCTCAAACAGGCTGAATTATTGCTTGTTCCTTTTGGACCTTCATCCAAGGGTAACGAGTCACTTGTCAATCACATAGTTTACTGAAAAAATAAATAAATAAAAGCATCTTGGGAAACCCTGTTGATTTAGGTCTAGATTTCGTAGGAGACAGAGCCCTTAGTCAAAAACATGGCATTGTTTGCTGAGAGCTTAGTGAAGTCCATAAGTCTCTGTTAAATTCTGCATTCTAGTTCACGCCTAAAATCTCCATTTAATCACTAGAAGCTGTACTCTGGTTCCTAAGACAAGATATCTCAGTCTAAATCCCACTGCCAAAACTAAATGAGTGTTATTTGTATATATTCCCATTCATCCAAATAAGATGATGTCTGTAAGTGGCTAATTTTACCCTCCCATCTCCTGCGTAGTTTTTACTGAGGAATACATGGGAGGCTTGGAAGCCCTGCTTTGGTTTTCAACTTCATTTTCCTTTATAAAAAAGGGCTTATGCAGCCTTGAATGATAATCTGTCCTTTTCTCTTCAACAGCAGAGGGAGGTTATGTGGCAGTTATGTGCAGTCAAAATAACAGAAGCTATCCAGTATGTGGTGGAATTTGCCAAACGCATTGATGGCTTTATGGAACTCTGTCAAAATGATCAAATTGTGCTTTTAAAAGCAGGTACGTGGGGAATTCTGAGGCTCATTTCTAACTAGCTCTAAACCTAGAGAGGTACTATATAAGTAACAACACTGAAGTCAATTTTTACTATAGATGTTTGTTTCCTAAAAAACTCATGGAAAAACAAATGAGTTTCATAGTGTTTTCTTTGAATTCACATGTCCATCTTGGGCAGTCGGGATAGAAGTAGGCATTAGGCCTGTGTGAAGCAGCTAGTATTTGCTTTGGATTTGGCCGATTCGGAGGACAGTGATTCAATTTGGTGATTCGAATCACTGTCCAGGTTCGATTCGGCTGAATCTGATTTGGAGATTCAGCTGCTGCCGAATCTCTGAATCTGCCAGGCCCATCCCCCGCACTCCCAGCCCAGCAATGGCTGCCCTGCCTGCCCTAGCTCCTTGGGGGGGAAAAAAAGCCCCAGCTCACCAGGTGCTGCTGGTTAGGGGATGATCTACATTGCTCCCTGCGCTGCACAAGGGGCTCTGCATGAGCACGCTAATCCCCCCCTCGCTGTCCCAGCCTCCACCACAGGTGCCCCACCTGAGCCATCTCCGGCCCTGTAAGAAAAAAAAACAAATGAGAAAAGCCCTGGGACTCACTGCTCCTGCCAGCAGGGGGCGATCCCTGCTGCCCCCCACTGCCCCATGCTACATGGCAGGCTCTGCATGAGCCCCCCGAAACCCTGAGGCTACTGCAGAAGCAGAGAGTCCTGGGCCTTTTCTCATTTGTTTTGTTTTCTTTCCTTAAAGGGCTAGAGCTGCCCCGGGAACGGCACCGGTGGGGGGGCAG